GAGGACAGGTGGAGTTCTGAGGACAGGTGGAGCTCTGAGGACAGGTGGAGCTCCGAGGACAGGTGAGTCCAGTAGTATGTGTCTGCATACCCAGAGGCTGCGCTCTCAGGGCGATGAATGATCGCCAAAATATGTGATTTAGTTCTAAAGATGATTTCTCCCAGAGTATAATTATAATTTAAAAGGTTGATCCAAAGTCCTGCTTCATGTCCACGCACCTGTAATGTTAAAGTGTTGTTTCCATCCAAATAGTGCTTTTTAACAACAAGTTGAGGTTTGAAAGGTTTATTCCACCAAAATACTACTAATGACAATAAGAACTGGCTGCTGAGACGTGCATTTGGGCAGATGGTGTAATGAACGTACTGATGAACAGGTAGGATGATGATGGACCTGCTGCTGTGGCCTCTGAGCTCTGTGGCCCAGATGCAGCAGTCTGAGTGTGTTCAGAGCTCTCAGGACCACCGACAGGTTGCTGGTGTTGGTGTCACCTTCTGACTGGATGCTGAAGACAGCAGCAGCGTTTGATGGAGGACGGTCACGACGTGAGTCCTGGTGCTGAATCGTTTTATTGGTTTAACGTCGTAAAATATTTGTCTCTGCAGCTTCATTTACGATCAATGCCAGTATTGATAATGATGTTTGTTATGAGCAGGATGTTCAGCTGATGATCTTGACAGTTAAAGATTTTACAGTAAAAATAAAACAAACCAGTTTGAAGGTCCGGTTTCAATATTCTGATGTTTTACTGGATCAAACTGCAGCTCCAGTCATCGATCAGAAATGATGATCAGAATTATTGATTATTAAAGTGATTAGGTTAGCAGGTGAAGCGGTCTCGTTTTTAAAAGAGTTTTAAAGTTCCTTTCTCTGTTTAAATGCATTTATTGATTATATTTATCATTTGATCTGAAGACAAACTGAGTGTCTGAACTCTGGAGGGTTAAAAAGGCATTTTGTCTTTAAAAAAAATTGGAAAAACAAAAAATCAACTGATTCTTGAACTAATCATGGGTAATGTGATGTTTTATCAGGAAAAACAAAACACAAATCTAAGCTTAAAATCAGATATTTAATCAAAATCACTTTATTCTGCAAGTCTCATTACAAAATCTGTCCAAAAATAAACTGTTGGCCAAAACCATCCATCATCATCTCTACACCTTCATCCTCACCAGGCTCATGGGGGGCGGAGCCTATCCCAGCTGACTCAGGGTGAAGGCAGGTTCACCTGGACAGGTAACCAGTCTATCACAGGGCTACACTTAGAGACAGACAACCAAGCACACTCACAAAGTACCAGATTATTCAATATTCAAATCAACAAATCAAAGTTTCACTGCCGTACTTTCACTGATTAACTGATTTAATGTTCAGGTTCATTCTCACTGCAGTTTTACAATCACACATATATTGAGGCTAATTTCCTGCTGCAACTGACTGAAGCTGATCAATCGGTTATTAGAATATGAAGTCTTCAAATGTCTCATTTTGTTTAGAAAACACTCAGAAACATTCCGTTTGAGTGATAAAAGTTTTATCACAAACCAATAAAAAGAGTTTGACAGTTTTTCTTTAAAACAATTTATTTTATTAATAATTAAATGACTGATGATGAATATATTTTGAGGATATTTTTTCTGATCGCTGCAGCTCTCACAGATCAATAGGTCCTGCAGTCACCACTTCATTCATGTCCAAACTCCAACAGTCAGAGAAACTCTGAGCTCAGAGATGTTCTGTCATGCAATGGTCTATTCTGCACATTCTCATTTGTGTTTCCATTCTGATGGATCCAGTCCTGTCTGGTTCCTGGATGTTTTGCAGTGGAAACAGCCAATCAGGAAGATGTTCCCAGACACCAGTCAGAACCAGGAGTTTAAAGAACCGCCGGCGTATCAGACAGTAAACAGTAAACAAACCTGAGTTTGCCTGTCGGATCAAACAGCTGCAACGCTGGAGGAACGTTAACATGAAGCGGATTCCTGCAGCTGATACTGTCAGAAGACACACCAGCAGCTGAAACTGGTCTCACACTGGTGCGATGCCGCAGTGATGCTGGTGTTCCTGGTTGAGCTGCAGCTCACAGCTGGATGAAGTTTGGGTGAACGCCTTCCTGATGCTTCAGGGTTGGCGCTGCAGTCGGGTCTTTGGTGGCTCGTTCTCCGGTGTGGACCTTCATGTGCGAATCCACCGAGCGCTTCTCCTGGTAGCTTTTCCCACAGACGTGGCAGCTGTATGGCTTCTCGCCAGTGTGCGTCAGCATGTGTCTCTTGAGGTCGATCTTCTGAACAAAGCCTTTGCTGCACAGCTGGCAGCTGAACGGTTTCTCCTTCTTGTGGAACCTCTCGTGTGTCTCGAGCGAGATCTTCTGGCGGAACCTCTTTCCGCAGAGGCTGCAGATGAACGGCTTCTCACCTGTGTGGATCCTCATGTGGGAGTCCAGGTTGCCGATCTGCCTGAAGTTCTTCCCACAGACCCTGCAGGTGTAGGGCTTCTCACCAGTGTGGATCCTCTTGTGCACGTCCAAATGCTGGCTCATGGTGAACTTCTTACCGCAGACCTCGCAGGAATAAATGCGAGGTTTCCCCCCCGTGTGGCTCTTGATGTGCCTTTTCAGGACGGTGTTTTCGATGAAGGTTTTTCCGCAGAACTCGCAGATATATGGCCGCTCGCCAGCATGCAGCTTCAGGTGTCGCTCCAGAGAGCCTTTGCGAGGGAAGTCTTTGCCGCAGTCTTTGCACCTGAAGGGTTTCTGTCCTGTGTGAGTCCTCATGTGGATCTCCATGTCCCTGAAGCTGACACCGCAGATGTCGCAGATGCGGCTGGTTTCTCTGTGACTCTGGATGTGCAGCTGGAGACTCTCTGAGGACTCAGAACGCTCTCCGCAGACACCGCACAGGAACTCTGCACTGTTTAAATGTGTCTCTGCATGACGCACAAAGTTACCTTTGTTGTGAAAGGCATTGCCGCAGACCTTGCAGCAGTGCGACGGAGTCAGACATGGCTTTCTACGCCTGCTCGTGGCGGCAGGCTGCTCGTTGGACTCATGGCTTCGGACATGCTGCCTAAGCTCAGCGCTTTTAGCGAAGCCTTTCCCACAGACTTTGCAGCAGAATGGCGTCTGTCCATCGTGGGCCTTCATGTGCCGCTCCAGAGAGCCAGCATGGCTGAACTCTTTGCGGCAAAAGTTGCAGGTGAACGGCTTCTCGGTCGTGTGGATCCTCATGTGTGTCACCATGTTGCCCTTTTGGTTGAATTCTTTTCCGCACACGTGACAGCTGAAGGGTTTCTCCCCCGTGTGCAGCCTGCGGTGTGTCTCTTGTGCTCGGATTGATGGAAATTTCTTCCCGCAGACATCGCAGGTCCTGCTGCTGTCACGGTGCATCTGAAGATGCAGCCTCAGACCATTGCTGGATTCCAAACGCTCACCACACAGACCGCACACACAGTCGTCATCCTTTGAGTGTTTTTCCACATGTTTCATCAGGAAGCCTTTCCTGTCGAATGACTTCCCACAAACTCTGCAACAGTGAGGCATCGCTTCCTCATCATCATCCTCATCGTCGTCGTCTCCAATTGGATCGTCACAGTCGATCTCTGTTCTGGAGGAAGTGCCAGGCAAAGACTCCTTCGGTCGGTCGTCCGCTGAGACGTCTGGAGTCAGATGTTCGTCCTCAGAGACACTCCTGATGCCAACAGACAGACGCAGCTCTGCAGAGAAAACACACAGAATTACGGATGCAAACATTTCACAATTTCCTTTACTGAAATTCAAAAGTGTAACCAATCAATTATCCAATTTTCAGTAAAATAAATAAGGTACAAAGGATATTATTCCATGTGCTGATGGAGTTATTCTTGACCACAGACATGTATCACTCAAGAGTAAATGCAGCTTGGTGACATTCACAAGTCAGGTAAAGAACATCTGTCCTACTGGACTCTTACTTGTTAATTGTATTTAAGCTCTAACTGGAGGTCCTGAACCTCCTCAGAGTCTCTGTCATGGTGATAAACTCCCACAATGCTCTCTGCTGCCACCATGAGCTGTAGTCTGAGTGACACCTCCTCTGGTCTCTACAGGATTAAACAGGAAGAGGCTCCACCTGGTGGAACAACCAGGTACTGCAGCTGGTCTGTGGTATATTTACTGACATCATGACCTTTGTCTTCTGCCTCATTGGGTAACATGTTTTCAATTGGACAAATTATTGATATCAATTCATTGATTTACAGTTCATCATTAACTTCCCTATGTAAAACATTTATATATCATCTCAGACAAGCTTCATGTTTCGGTTTCTTCATCTACACATCATGAACTTGTTTCTGGAGCTGTTTGTGTTTGATGCTGAAGAACTTTCATGCAGAAGTCTCGTGTTTCATCACTGCGACTTTTGAACTGTTGGCCTAATTCAGAGAAAACTGTGTCAACAGGAACAACTATCAAGATGTTAATTCAACCATCGCTATATACAATAAAGACCAGATGTCTTAAGGCGGCGTTTCAAACGGGATCACCGGCGGCCATCTTGATTCGGGGCAGCTCTCTGGTGGAACCTGTGGTCCGTGAAGGAAGCTGAGTGATCTGCACAAACGTAGACACTCTGATCTCGCTGAAATCTGGACGGATTTACAAACGGTTTGGTTTCTTACAAACGTTATTAACGCGGCTTTTTTTTAAAGATTTATTTTTGGCCTTTTTCCGGCTTTATTGACAGCGACAGTGAAAGACAGACAGAGAAACATGGGGAGGAGTGGGGGAATGAAATGCAGCAAATGAGCCGCTGGCTGGAATTGAACCCAGGCCGCTGCGTCGGGGACTGTAGCCCCTGTACGTGGGTCGCCTGCCCTACCCTCTGAGCTATCCAGGCGCCCCTGGCTGTGAGAGTTTAACATAATTAGCCATCAGTGCAGTGTTATAACTAAACCTCTGACATTTACAACAAACCAAACCGTTTGGAAATCGGTAGAAAACTGAGCAAGTTCTGGTTGTTTAAAAAGTACATGCATCACCACAACACAATGGTATGGGTGAGCGAGAGCACCGGATCAAGATGGCCGCCAGTGTGGCCGTGCGATTCCATTGGCCGACAGCACAGACGAGACATCTAGCCTTTATTATCCATGTCTATGAATTCAACAAACTTCATTTTCCAACATAAACAAGTCCTTGTATCCATGGCAACATCTCACTACCTGTTTGCTGTGAAAGTTTTCATCTGCTCAAAGGTGATATTTTGCAACTGTCACTTTTCTTGTTTCAATATTAACCTGTTCTTCCTGACATTAAACGCAGCAGCATCGCTTCTGTCCTCACAGGTACAGACGGTTGATAACCACATTTAACCTTCTTTACAGTTTTCAGATCATTTTGATCGGTGCTTCTTTTTGCTGTGCTGCATGTCTCTGCTCTGACAGCAACAAACACGACGCTGCAACCTTAACCTCAGTTCAACTGACAACCTGATAATAAATCCAGCCGCTGTTGATCAGTTGATCTCATGAGCCACCTGGTAACCATGGTAACACGAAGAAGCTCTTATCGATCACATCTTCACTTTCTGCAGTCATTCTCATTATGTACTGCAAAGGAACCATGATAGTGTGTCAAATACTGATCTGATCGATAGCACTGATTATTGGTTAAGGAACAGAACTATGGAGGTTTGTTGTATAAATCTATACGGAGAATTTGATGTTATTGATGGAGATGTATGAGAGCGGGCAGAAAACATGTTGTCCTTTGTGAATTTAACCAGTCAGACCCTAAAACATGAATATCATCAGTTCTTCATTGGAGTTTATTGTGTTTTTCACCTTTATTGGTGAACTGCATCTCTTAGTGTCACTAACCAAAATTACTATCACATTAAATTGATAAAAACAAGTGTTTGTAAAGCACCTACACACTTGATCAGAAACCAGAATAATTTACAGTCAGAGAAGCTACAGGTCTGACTGTCCTGCACTCGCTGTGACGTTCAAGTGGAACATGAACTGAGCACAGAAACAGCACTGACATGATCGAGTTAATATGTAAAGACTGCCAGGTTGTTTCAGGACTCTAACAGACCCTCTGCAGAGAAACAGCAACCCCAAAATTCATGACTAACTACTATCAGAGATGTGACAACCTGCAGCTTTAATTCATCACACAACAATATACTGCTAATCTGAAAACATCACTTGATTATTTTACTGACATTTAATATACAAAACCAGCAATCGATCTACCAATGTCAAACTAATCCGAAGTACAACTAGCTGATAAATGATTGGTGGTTATCTGCAGGTATTACTGTTTAAACAAGACACAAACTGGATAGCATAAAAAAAATAATTAAAATGAATATTAGCGCACAACAGTGTCAACAACCTGGATATTACCACAGAAAATGATCAGGAACCTGATATTAATTTTGAGTTTTGTGGAGTTCAAAGCTCCTGAACCGGACAGCAAATGGACCCGGTACTGAGGCCGCAGTCCGTCCTCTGGATCCGGACACTGACCTTTCTGCTCCACTCTCTGACTCCCGTCGAGCTCCTGCGGTTGTACGTTGGCCGCTCTGCTCGCCTCAAAAGCGGTGAGGATGAGCTCCACGGCCGCAGTGATCCGCTCCGTCAGGAGCCGCCTCAGCTCCTCCAGCTCCGCCCGGCCGCGCTCCTGCAGCAGCCAAAAGATCTCTTGAGCGACCACCGCCAGCTGCTGATCCACAGCGGCCTTCAGGCTCCGGAGCTCTGCCCGTTTCTTCGACATTTTTTTGGTTTTCAGCGAACAAAGAGCAGAATGTAAACAATGCCAGGACACTTCCGGGATCCCCATGCAGCGTATTGACGTCACACGCAGACATGCCGTCGCGCAGATCATACGTCAGATCCCGAGGATAGCTAACAGTTAACAGCTGGCTGCGCAGGGAAGTTTCAGCTCCAGAAATAGTTTCGTAAATTCTTCGTCTTTAGATAGTTTGTTGTTTCATTGTTTGTTTCGTGTTAAACTCGTTTCTTTTCATTTTGTCGTCTGTCGTCAAAAAAAAAAGCCCCTCTAAATGTCACAGCACGTTGCGCGCTGTCAACCAAATCCCCTTTAAAAATACGTCTGGTTAGTATTTCTCCGCTAACACACATAAATATAAATCCAAAATACAACATAAAACCTAATGTCATTCAATAACGTCTTGTGGTAAATTCGGCATATAATTAAAGCACGATAAGCTTCACTTACACTAAATCTGGACTTAAAAGAAAGGCTGGTGGGTGTCAGATGTGAACATTACAGCTGTTGAGGTTAAAGTCTACTGAAATGAACTGTGACACTCTCTGCTATAACGAAGCTGTAATTCACCTCTTTATCACGTTTCAGAAATTGATGTGTCACATTTTATTGGATATTCAGATTGCTATAGTCTTGTATATGAAATGTAATTAATCCCTCTTGTTGAGCTGTAAATAAACGAATAAATGTAATAATGAAGTAGAAGTACCTTTGAACTGCAGTACAGGTGTGTACAGTTCCATAAAATTGAAACCAGTTACTGAATTGTTATGATTTATTTATTGGCATTGTGACTAATTTTTCTATTGTTCGTTCATCGTGTTGTATTGTTATTGCACAGCCTTGAGAACAGTCACTTTGCATTTCACTGCACATATTGCATGAGCATGTGACATAAAATCTCTTGAAAAGTGAATCTGAGTCTTGAAGTGACTGGTCTTCAACAGCAGAGATTTGTTAGCTGGGATTTGGTGTAACTGGGAGGACAGCCTCTAATGAGCCTAACTTTCTGTCTGCTGTGTTTCAAGTTAATGATTCAAGGCTTGAAAGGAGCAGAACCTCTGAGAACTCAGAGCAGCTCCGATGTCTCATCAGAAGAAGAAGAAGAGCTGCATACCGGACCGGTGGCTGGATTACTGTCCTGTAGGACGCAGGATACCAGGGACTCGGTTCATCGCTTTCAAAGTGCCACTTAAAGAGTCTCTGAACCGTCAGCTGCCTGAATCGTACTCTGGTCTGTGGGACCTACTGGACTCTGTGCAGAGCTAGAACCAGGAGCTGGGTCTGATCATCAACCTCACCTTCACCAGGAGGTACTACGAACTGTCAGACGTTCCGCAGTCCTGCTTTTACACCAGGTTCCCTCCGATGCCACCATCCTGAACTTCAAACAGGCCGTGAGACAATTCCTGAAGGAGGACTGTGACAACGACAAGCTGATTGGAGTCCACTGGACTCATGGCCTGAACCGCACCGTCTACCTGGTCTGCAGGTACCTGATCAATGTGGACGGCCTCGACCGATGGCATCTCTGGAACTGTTTAACTCCTGCAGAGGTTATGGCACTGAGAGACAGAACTACCTGTGCAACCTGCAGAATGCCACCAAGAGGAGCAATGACAGGATTGACGAGCCACAGGAGGAGGCGATCAGAGGGCTTGCTGTAGAGAGACCTCCACAGACCACCAGACAGGACCAAAGACCTCCACAGACCACCAGACAGGACCAAAGACCTCCACAGAGCACCAGACAGGACCAAAGACCTGCACAGATCACCAGACAGGACCAAAGACCTCCACAGAGCACCAGACAGGACCAAAGACCTCCACAGACCAACAGACAGGACCAAAGACCTCCACAGACCACCAGACAGGAGGAACAACTGTTTCAGAACATCACTGCTGCTACTGAACAGGACAGACAAGGGTCCAGCTCTGGGCACAAAGAGGCAGAACCATTATTCAGTGATGATCCTGTGGAGTTTTAATGACCGGCTGCTTACCGCCGCCGACGTAGAGCTCGACGTCACAGGGCTCAGGTCCTGTGACAAACAGCCTTCTCTGGTCACCTGACCCTGAAGCCCCGCCCACAAGTGATTGGAACAGAAATCTGTAATATATCTGATCTGTGGGTGGCATGGTGGAGCAACAGTTAGCCCTGTGGCCTCACAGCTAGAAGATCCTGGTTTGAATCTGGGATCTTCCTGCGTGGAGTCTCCATGTTCTCCCAGTGCAGCATGGGTTCTCTCCGGGTTCTCCAGCTTCCTCCCACAGTCAAGAAACATCCATCCATCCATCCATCATCTCTACACCTTCATCCTCACTGGGGTCAATTTACAATCACCAATTAACCTCAGCATGTTTCTGGACTGTGGGAGGAAGCCGGAGAACCCGGAGAGAACCCACGCTGCACGGGGAGAACATGGAGGCTCCACACAGGAAGATCCCGGGTGTCCTCACCGGGACGCCAACCTTTTACCTGTGAGGGGACAGTGCTAACCAACTGCTGAGGTTAATTGGTGATTGTAAATTGTCCGTAGGTGTGAATGTGAGTGTGCTTGGTTGTCTGTCTCTAAGTGTAGCCCTGTGATAGACTGGTTACCTGTCCAGGTGAACCTGCCTTCACCCTGAGTCAGCTGGGATAGACTCCGCCCCCCAATACCTTATAGGTGATGAAGTGTGTAGAGGTAATAGATGGATGGAAACACGATCTGTAGTATTTCTGTTCAGCTGTCAGAGTTTGAAACTTTGTGTCGAATAAGCTCAGAATAGAAAAAATTAAATTTTATGTTTTAATTTGTATATTTAACTCAGACTGAATTGTTGTTTCTGATTGTTCCATTAAAACTTCTAGAACTTCAGTCTGATTCAGACTAACAGATGAAGGTCATGTAATGTGATCAAAAGCTCCAAAAGAGCTACTAAATGAAGCCCTGTTGACTTTCCAGATGTTTCCTTCAACAGAGAGCTGCTGCTCCCAGTTCTCCCAGTTCTCTGCTCAGCTCCTTTTCTTTTTGAGGATCATGAAAACTGTTTCAGTGAAAATGTTAGTTAATGCAGAAAACAGTAATAAGTGTGTATTTGAGTTAAGAAGCTGATCAAACTGGAACCAGTAAACCATAAACAAACCATCATTCATGTGAGCGACTTCCAGAAACTAAAAGAAGAAAATGTTTTTGTCAGACATTACAGTGGAAATGCAACACAGCAACAACAAATCAGAGGAAATGGTCACAGATTTCCAGAATAAAGTCAACATTTACTCATAAAATTAAAAATTCATTTTCAAAACGGTTTAAATGATGTAAAAAAGAAAAGCAAAGAAAAAAGGCTTTGAAGAATCAAGTAAAATGTTTACCAGTTATATTCTCAAAACAGATTTCAGGAAATATTCTAACTTTCTGGCTTAATTCTCTCCAAATATTACAACTTTATTTTGAAAAAAGTATTTCCTGTTGACTTACAGAATTATGCTGAAGAAGTCAAGACATTCTTAAAATAATGAATCACATGTTTTCACCTTTTGAGTTTTATCTTTTAATATTCAGGCTGTTCTTCAAATATCAAAGCTTATAGAAAATTCCAGCTTCCTCACTGGTCGGTGGTTCTGAGGTTCTGTGGGTTCATGTCCAGCGTCTTGGCGCTTTTTCCTGAGAAATGAACATTTAAATCATCTGATTATAAAACCTGGGTCAAGTTGCAGGACCAACTCTGAAACAATCCTTCAGGTTTTCTTTGTCTTCTTCTCAGTTTCTTCTGGACTCTTTGGGTTCTGGTTTTTCCTCCAGGTCCGACACCTGTGCCTCCTCTTCTTCCACACCCTTTTCCCGCAGTCGTCACACCTGTCCGGTTTCTGCTCCTTCTGGATGCTTGTGTTTGCGTGCTGTTGAAGTTGCCTCCTGCTGCTCCATGTCCCAGTTTTTGTCTCAGTTTTGGTCTGGTTCTGGTTCTGCAGCAGTCTTTTCTTTAGGTGACACTGCAGGTGAAGCTTCAGACTGTCTGCAGCCTCGAAGCGTTCGCCACACACCCCACAGACCATCGCGGCCTCCTTCAGGTGAGTCTTGACGTGTCTGAACAGGAACCTGCGAGCCCTGAAGGTCCGGCTGCAGACCCGGCAGGTGAACCCGCCTCTTGCTCCGTGAGGCATCTTCGGTCTGTCTGGAGCGGGTCCGGGACCAACAGAGTCCCTGTTGTAGTCTTCACTGTCCTCAGTCTCTGAGGATGACACTAGAAGAACATCTGGATCTGGACCTCCTGGTCCTGGTCTTGATCCAGCTGATGGGTCCTGGTCCTGACCTGACCTCACTGCACACTTGGAGCTGTAGGTGAACTTGATGATGTCATCCTCGTCCAGGTGGAGCTGCTCTCTGTCCTGTTCCTCTTTAACCTGTGAGGTCTCTGGGTCCTGGTTCTGGTTCTTGTCCTCGGGAGGAACTGCATCTTTACTGACCATCAGCTGCTGCGTGAAGACGTCTGCAAGGAAACACAGACACGGTGGATGAACCAGATCTAGACTGACAGACTGCTGCTGATGAAGACCAGGAGATGTGAGCAAAAGCTTCATAGCAGAACAACTACAGCAGAGATTCCACTGTTAAAGTCGCCTGTTTGTTGCTTCAAGACTTCAGTGTGAGAAACACTACAGCTGCCTCCTCATTTACCTGCAGACTAACGGCTCCATCACACCAGAAGGCTGCAGCATCAGGAAGGTGTGACACAGTCAGACTTTCTTATGCTCAACTAACCCTGAACCCAGTCAGAGACCTCAGAAGGTGTTTATCAACTTTCTTAGTTAACCAGACTTTCTGCTTCAGACTCTGTTCACATTAAAGGAGGCCTTTAACGCGTCATGTGACTCTTCTGCAGTAAACGGACCAATCAGGTTCCTCCTGCTTCAGTCAGCAGCTTGTTTTAATGAGAACAACGAGGAACATCAAGAACTGTGACTTTCAAGAGCTGCTGCTGGAGATGATGCAGGACAGGAAGCTGCTGGAGACCTGCTCACCATGTGCTCATACATTTATTTTATTGATCAATACAGTTGATTATTGATACCTGACAGCTGCACATTAAAGCTGTTGAACTTTAAACTTCACATATTTAAACCTGATCTTGTACTGCAGCTCATTTAGGTCTGACTCTGTCCCATAACGCAGGAAATCACTTTAATAACGACAAATCAAAGTGAATCAATGCTCCTGATTGGATGTTCTCTGTAATAAATACCAATAGGTAATCAATGTTCTAATCAGTGATCTATCAGCTGCAGGACCAGCACAGTAAACATAGAAACATGACTATGGGATCTCTGCATCAGCAGCTGAACACACGTAGGTTTCCATGGCAACAGGATGCCTCCAGTGTGAGATGCTGTAACTGCTTCATTCAGTGTTTCAGTAACGTACAGATCAGCAGGTTTACAGAGAAAACATCATCATCAGGGACCAGTTCAAGGGAGACGCTGAGCAGGACCTGGACCAGGTTAGCACCATGGAGATGCAGCAGGTTAAAAGGGACTATAAAACTCTTACTTTCAGCTCAATATACCTGCTGACCCATTGATCTCACTTCTTATTAAACCTATGGACTCAGGTGACACTCACCTGTGGGCTTCAGCTCCATCAGCGGGCTGTGGAGCGCGCACAGCAGCGCGTGCTGACGGGAGATCACTTCGTGGTTCAGAGCTGCTTCCTGTTCGTATTTTACGATAATTTTTTCAAAAACCACCAGAATCTCTTCAGCCGCCGCGTGCAGCCGCTGAGTGACGAAATGCCGCATCTTCTCGACTCGGGACATGTTCGCACCGGAGCTGGGACAGAACCGGGACAGAACCGGGACAGAACCGGGACAAAACTGAGACGGAGCCGCTGGGAATGTGTGCTGCTAGCAGCTAACAGCTAACACAACGACAACGCTCTTCTTCTGCTGCTGCTGCTATCTGAGCGGCAGGCAGCGGAGCTGTGTTGCTGCCCCCCACAGGCCGTTAGTGGAGCCACACTGACAGTTAAATCACGATGATGTCACAGAGTTGATTTGCTGTTGTACAGCAGCTCGGCCTTAAATTTAGTATAATGTACAAAATATAACAGAGCAATTGTGCTTATTATTAGCACATAGGAGGCAGAATATGAGGAACCTTAAACATCCCAGCAGCACTCAGAAACTGGAACTGCAGGTTCATGAGAGCACCTGAGTGCACAGGTGAAGGTTCTTTCTCACACTGGGTAACACGAACAAACACAAGGCCAGTTTTAGTTTGTAAACTGTATTGAACTTGACATGTGCAACATGTGATGAAAAATGAACAAAACACTAAAAACAGACAGCATCTACGAAAACATTTAGAACAAAGACAATAAGATTCACTAAGAAGTTTCCTATTGCCCAGTTTCTGCTCCGTCGTCCAGCTCTTTTTCTTCACAGACATCTTTTCCCTGTAAAACAGAACAAGACACCATGTGACAGTTTACAGCAGCACTGCCTGAGATCAACTTGATATGAAAAGATTCTGTAGTAAATCAAATCGCAGGAATCAGGAGTGTTTCAATAAAAAATCCTTTATAAAAAAAACTATATTTTAAATTCAGGCTCCAAAGCAGAAACTCAAGGAACCAAAGTGAACCCAGCTGTGATCAGTGAAACTAAACTGAGTCCAGCGGTGGTTCCCATCAGTCTACCTGCATGAACATGGTTCTACAATGAGCTGAGAGCAGCAGAACCTTCTCAGTTCTGGACCTCTGGACTGTGTCTATCTATGTCTGCATCCACATGGAGAAGACCTGAACAGAGGAGGAGAAACATCTGACTGAGAGACCGGACAAAGATGGAAAAGGATCCAGAAGATCAGTGAGCAGCTAGAACCCAGTGCAGCCCAGTGTGAGCAGGAACCAGGAGGTCCAGAAGGAGCCACAGCAGCACTGATCAGGGCTGCAGTGGTCGTCCTCCTACAATGATGCCATGGACAGCCATACTTGTATGACAAATAAACAAATCAAATCTGAATTGGTCAGATAGAGATCAATGTGTTGGGCTCACATGGAGTCCAGATGTTTGGTGTGAACCTGACCAGGACCACCACAGTGGATGCATGGTCCTGACAGTGAAGCACGGAGGTGGCAGCATCATGATGTGGGGCTGTATGAGTGACTAACCCTCAGTACGTCTTCCTCCCTCCTCTCCCTCCTGTGTAGCCCTCCCTCCACCAGGCTGCAGAAGTCACTCTCAGCTCTGGCGATCAGCTGATCGGGGTCGTCCTCGCCGTCATCCCGTCCGATCTCCTCCTCACGGCTCTGCTCTGAGCGACTCCTCTCCTTCAGACGGATCTCTCTCTGTCGGGCCTCCAGTATCTTCTCTCGCTTTGTCTCTCGTTCAAACATCTGCAGATGCAGAGAGTCAGTGCTGCAGCGCCCCCTGCTGTGGGACAGTCTAAAGGCTGGATTATGCTTTCCATGCAAAAATGACGCACGGAAACGAGACGCACGGAATCTGCACAAGAGAACGCATGTGGCTTTTATACTTGGTGCAGCGCGTGTTACCAAACAGCAAGGAGCAGTGTGATGCACGTATACCACAGTATCAAATTGGAGTAGAAGAAGTTTGGCAGCGTTTATATCGCTTCAACATGGTGACACGCTCGTCTTGGTAAAGAAGAGGAATTTTGTTGTCTGTTATTACTGCTGAGACAGAAAAAGAAGAGAAGGTGGTCGACCCGTTCATTAAATCTGACATAATTATCAACAGACTTACCTCTTCTGGAGGAAAATTTGAATCAGTTTCCCTATGCTTGATAAAAGTTAAGGGCCAGCTCAACTCTCTTAAAATCCTGAGGACATTTTGGCTTCCTCCTGGGTTTCCACTTCGCCCTTTGGTTTTTGCCTTAACGTATCTGTTGTGCAGGTTTTTCAAGGTTGTCTTCACCCATTCCTCTTCTTTACCAACTGTGGCAGCAATTTCATGCCACAAATTGTCCATAACACAGCTATCGTGTGATCCCAGTGTGAAGAATCATATAAATGCCTGTATTTTTGTACCTCTGCCACTAGGAGCTCCTGTTCATCTGCATGTTTTCCGTGCGTCTCCGTCCGCATTGTTAGACATTTTCAGGGATGCACGAAGTGGAAATTTTCCACTTGAAATGACCACGGGAGGGAGTGTGGCTGCAAAAATGACTTAATTTCTCCGCATGGAGCCACGCGGACCTCTCGGACGCGTTAAGCATAAACCCACACTTCACCCACACTGACGTCAGTATCACACAGATTCAGCTCTCAGAATCACTGGCAGCTTAGAAACAACCACAAATATATGAAACTCTGGAGTCCCACAATAACCACGTATTAACTGTGTGCATAAAGTTTGATGTCTGCATGCAGGGCCAAGTTCATTGGATTGAACCAGATCAAATCTATCCATCCATCCATGATGTATACGCTGCTTAATCCTCACAAGGGTCGCGGGGAGCCTATCCTAGGGTGAAGGCAGGTTCACCTGGACAGGTAACCAGTCTATCACAGGGCTACACTTAGAGACAGACAACCAAGCACACTCACATTCACACCTACGGACAATTTACAATCACCAATTAACCTCAGCATGTTTCTGGACTGTGGGAGGAAGCCGGAGAACCCAGAGAGAACCCACGCTGCACGGGGAGAACATGGAGACTCCACGCAGGAAGATCCCGGGTGTCCTCACCGGGACGCCAACCGGCGACCTTCTAGCTGTGAGGCGACAGTGCTAACCACTGATCCACCTGCAGCCCCTGGATCAAATCTTGAAAAGAAAAAATGGATTGTAAAATAAGATTACATCACGTGATCCAGTCCTAGATAGTTCTGAATCACACCTTTAGTGCTATTCGGAACCTCTCAGCAGTTATTTGGGATGCTTGTGTGGCTGGAGCTGGCTAAAGTACTGGTTTAGTGTGTCAGTGTCTCTTACAGCAGCCAGCAGACTCTTCTCATTCTTCTGGAGGGTCGACAGTCCAGCGCAAATTTCCAGCAGCGTGGTTTCGCCCTGCTGAGACCCACATGCCACCAGATGACCATTATCCTGAACACGGAGACTGTACAGTGCTCTGTCGCAGACCTGGGGATGACAACAGCAACATCAACAACAGATGGACAAAGACTCCAAGCTAGCAGGTCAATGGGCAGTTTGTGGTTTCCAGGTGAGATCGCAGCACCTTGACACTCAGCGTGGGATCACTCTGGTTGAACAGAATGTCCCACACGTCCAGCATGCCATCCATCTTCACAGTGAAGAAGACAGAGGGTCGGACTGGACTCCAGCAGGCGTCTGTCAGGTAAGACATCTGGTACCTAGAACACAAAATGACAGCAGGTGAATCTAGACTCTGAGGCAACTGAGCAGGTACATGAGCAGAAGGACAGACTGAGGGGATGTGAAACAGGATGAGATAAAATTAAACCTGAAAGATAATACAAGATAAAGACATGATGTGCCAAGATGGAAGCAAAGAAGATGACAAAATGTGAGGATGGATTGAACACAACAACTGTAAACAAGACAATAAAAGATAAGATGATATGAATCTAAATTTAATAACACAAACTGAAATGTATTAAGATTCAATAAGATAAAAGCTGAGGAGATAAATCAAGATGAAATGACTGAGAGACAATCAGAACAAACTGAAGACATGAGACAGATGTGAGATGAAGACTGTACAGACACTGTATCTTTAGTTTGGATTTAAGTTCTGTTCTCATGTTTGCTATAATTAGAGGTAAGACTAAGACCAGCATCTTCTGAGTCCTACTTGGTGCACATGATGGACGATTCCTTGATGTCCTCAGACCAGATGCGAGCCGTCCAGTCCCCCACGGTGAGAAAGTTTTTGGGGAAGAAGGGGTTCCTCTGTAGGGCGTAAACCGGACCATGGTGGCCGTCATATGTACAGACAATCTTCTCAGCCGGAGTCTTTGCCTTCCGGTTGCAGGAGACGACCAGGCCCTGCTCTGTCCCCACCATGAACTTAGTCGGCTGCAGGGACACCAAGGACGAGACAGGCTAAGGGATGGAGACGCAGACAAGATCTCTTCCTGTGGACACTAACAGACAGACAGACTCACCATGGTGGCTTCAAACTCCAGAGAAATCGCTCCTAAAGCCCGGTCTAGGTTCCCCTCCCGACCTGGGTCCAAAACCAGGCGCTCTGTGGGCTCACTAAGCCGTCGGATGTCCCACCAGAGGATCTGAAGACACAAAAGAATCTACCAGTCAGTCATCAGTCT